CCCCCCCCCCCCTTCTCCGCCCTCCCCGCCGCCCTCTCCTCCTCTCTCTGGGAGATCCAAATGCCGAAAATGCCGATAAATACAAGTGCGTGACAAGGAGGAAAGATGGTGGAATTCTGAGGGGGGAGGGCGCGGCAAACCGCCGGCAAGTGTATGGAAGCGCGCGCGCCCCACCGGCGGATGCTACCTCAACACCGATCACCACGCAGGAGAGACAGTGGCGGCAAACGACACGACTAGACGGCGCACCACCATGACGGGAGCAGCCGCCCAGCCACCCGCCCAAGGGCGATAGAAAGAGCCGAAAGAAGGCCCTGACCACCAGGAACCCCAGATGCGGGCCACCAGCCCCCCGGCGAGAGGGGATGGTGATGGTGCGGGAGTACCCTCTGAGGGAGACATCTCTCGCTCAGAGACGGCGACCACGGCGACCACCCTTGCGGCGGGTAGAATCGGTGGGGATGGGGGTGACATCCTCTGCAAAAGTGTCGGGGGGGGGGGAAGGGGGAGAAAAGGGGAGGGAGAGCGCGAGAGGCGGCGATGACGAGAAAGTTAGCGAATGCGGGCCCACACACGAGGGGGGGGGAGGAAGGCGCGAGAGGGGGAGATCCAGGGAATGGCGCAACAGCAAGAGGAGGAGCAGAGAGAAAGAGAGACGACACGCACCAATGCGGCCGATCTTCATGCCAGCACGGGCAAGAGCGCGCAGGGCAGACTGGGCACCGGGGCCGGGGGTCTTGGTGCCAGTACCACCGGTGGCACGGAGGCGGATGTGCAGGGCAGTGATGCCGAGCTCCTTGCAGCGGAGGGCGACATCCTGAGCCGCAAGCATGGCGGCGTAGGGGGAGGACTCATCACGGTCGGCCTTGACCTTCATGCCACCAGTGACACGGACGATGGTCTCCTTACCGGTAAGATCGGTAACGTGGACGAAGGTGTCGTTGAAAGAGGCGAAAATGTGGGCAACACCGAAGACGTGCTCGCCGTTGCGGACCTCAGGACCGTAGTAGGCGGCCTCCTGGTTGTTGGAGCTCTGCTTAGCCTTGGACTGCGTGGGAGGGGGGAGGGGAGAGGGGTGTGAACGAGGACAGAGAGCGAAAAGGTCAGATCCGGGGTCAGAGGGCAGCAACGGGAGGTCGGATGTCAGAAGGAAAAGGTGAATCCGATGGGGAGAGAGAGAGAGAGAGCCTCTCCAAGCGAGGGGGGGGAATGGAAAGGGAGAAGGGCGTCAAGAGCCACTCGCGCCGGCCTCCGGATTTCGCGTAGATGGTGTGCGTGTCTCTCCTCTCTCCCAGCCTCTCTCTGGCTCTCTTGTGGCGAGAGAGGGGTGCGCGCGACGCAGCAGGGATAATAGTCCTCCCCTCCTCCGCGGGGAGAACGCCGCCACACACTTCCAGCACACAGATGGATCCGCCTCGATGCGCGCATGCGCAGTCCTTCCCCGCGCGCGGCAAGGATCCGAAGAAGAGCAAAGGCCGCGCAGAGCTGAATGCGGATGCTCGACATCGGAAGAAGGGGAAATGATCGAGTGCCAGAGATGAGGGGATACGGCGCGCGCGTGTGCGCGCGCGCACATAAGTGCACCAAAGAGATGCGAGAAGAGGGCGTCCATACAAGCCGAGAGTATCGAGGAAGGGAGAGAGAGAGAGAGAGAGGAGGAGGAAGAACGAGGTGCACACGCCAACAGGGCCAACAAGCGGGCGAGGCCGGCGGCGAGGGAGTAGCACGCGGGGGGAGGGAGGGGGCCGGAGCGGGAGGGGGGAGAGGAGGACAAGGAGAGGGCGACGAACCATGGTGAATTGCGACAAAATAGAGGGAAGAAAAACCAACTCAAAGAATGTCGAGAGAGAAAACCTCCGCCCGGAGGAGAGGTGACATGGGCCCTCTTCTTCTCCCTCTTCTCGAGCACTTCGCGGGCCATCGGCGAGCACGAATCGCTCCCGGCGCCGGCGGCGCGGCGCACCCGCGCGCGAGGGTGTGTATCCCAGGGCATGCCCCCGCCAGAATGGGGACAGGAACAGGCCGGGGCCATGCACTGACACCGAACTGGGCACGCAGTATGTGCACCACTCGAGCTGGCGGACAGGAGGGGGGCGGGGGATGGACGCATGTGCCCATGGTGCCCCGCCCCACCCGGCCCCGCCGCCGCCCCCCCCCCCCCCCCCCCCCCCCCCCCCCCCCCCCCCCCCCCCCCGCCGCCCCCCCCCGCCCCCGCCCGCGCGCCCCCCCCCGCGACGCCGCCCCCCCCCCCCCCCCCCCCCCCCCCCCCCCCCCCCCCCCCCCCCCCCCCTGCTCCACCAGCCGCGCAGGGTCCGGGCCTCGAGGAGGGCATTCACGCACCCGACCAGACACTCCCCTCACCAGTATATTTCCTTGTGTCTCGGCCTTCCCCCCCCCCGGTGGGCGGAGCGGCCGGGGCTTCGCGATCACCAATCGGTCAGGCATGGATTATTCCGACACTCGGTTTCCCGGACAGAAGGACTGTGTACCGGGGCCGCTCAAGCACCAGCCCTCCGCCCCGCTCC